CCCAAGCAGCTGGGATTATAGGTGCATGCCATCACGCCTGGCTGATTTTTGTGTTTTTAGGAGAGACGAGGTTTTGCCACATTGGCCCGGCTGGTCTCGAACTCCTGACCTCAGGCGATCCACCTGCCTTGGCCTCCCAAAGTGTTGGGATTACAGGTGTAAACTACTGCACCCGGCCAGGACTTTCTTATAGAAGCCTCCCTGATACCCTCAGTCCCCTGAGTCTTGATCAATCCCCTGAGTCTATGTCTTAAATATATTCTTTTCTTCATGGTGTTTAGCACAGTTGTACATTTATTTGCATTAATCTGCAATAAATAATAATAATCTTCCTACTAGACTAAACTCCGCAAGGGTTTGGACTGAAATCTGTTCTTCCAAATTCTTATGATGAAGTCCTAACCCCAAATACCCCAGTTCCTCCCAGTACCTCAGATTGTGACTGTCTTTGGAGACAAGGTTTTTAAAGAGGTAATTAAGTTAAAGTGAAGTTATGAGGGCAGGCCCTAATCCAATCTGACATGATAAGCGTCCTTAGAAAAAGAGGTTTTTAGTCCCCAGACATACAGGCACAGACGAAAGACCACGTGAAGACAAAGGGAGAAGACAGTCATCTACAAACCAAGTAGACATCCTCAGAATGAAACCGATCCTGCAAACCCCTGATCCTAGACCTCCAGCCTCCAGAACAGTGAGGACAGTAATTTCTGTTGTTTAAATGACCCGGTCTGTTGTACTTGGTTATGGCAGCCCCAGAAAATTCGCATAGGTAGGGACTAGGATGGCTCTGGTGTATCACTGTAGTCTCAGAGCCCAGGACTGAGTAGGTGCTCAATGAATTTTCCCTGGAGGGTGATGGAGGTGTTGGGGGCAGGGTCAGCAGTACTGGGATTGCTTCAGTTTCCATCTGCGGCTCTTCCTCCAGGGTTGCTCCCAGAGCCACCCTTTCCTGTTTGCAGGCCTGGGCCGTGGCTTCAGGTCCTTAAGCTCCTCCTGGATAAGACATTGTGATGGTTAATGTTAGGTGTCAATTTAACTGGGTTAAGACTCCCCAGATAGCTGTGAACATTACTTCTGTGTGTTTCTGGGAGGTGTTTCCAGGTGATATTAGAGACTGAGTCAGAGACTAAGAAGATATGCCCTCACCCCCGTGGGCAGCCATCATCTAATCCATTAGCACATGAAGAGGAGAAAAAGGAGAAAAGACAGATTTGCGCCTTCATTTCGGGCTGGAACACCTGCATTTTCTTGTCCTCAGATGGTGAAGCTCCTGGTTCTTGAGCTTTTGCACTCAGACAGGAGTTACACCATTGGCTTTCCTGGTTCTCAGGCCTTTGGACTCAAATGGAATCATATCATGGGCTTTTCTGGGTCTCCAACATGCAGATGGCAGATTGTGGAACTTCTCAGCCTCCAAAATCAAGTGAGCCAATTCCCATCGTAAATCCCCTCTCCTATGTCTGTATATGTCCTATTGCTTCTCTTCCTCTGGATAATGCTAACTAATACAGACATAACACAGCAGACTTTGGGGATAATGTGTGAGTATGTGGGGGAAAAACTAGACATGAAGCAGTATGCGGTTTCTTTAAAATAACTTTTTCATTAAAATAGTTGTATATCCTTAGGACAAAAACTTGGAAAATACAGAAATGAAGTGGGAAAAGGAAGAAAAATTACCATCCATTATTTTCTCTCCCTCCCTCCTCAGTCTCCAGGAAAAGAAAATTACAATTAACTACAGTTTTCTCTTTATTTTTCAGAGTTGGGATTCTCTAGTATGCACATATTTTCATTATGATTTGTAAAAATAATATAGCTTACGCTTTTCCCAAGACATACTAAACTGCTCTTAAGTATTTTAATGGCCACATAAAATGTTATTGAGTTAATCTATTACAATTTTATTAATCATCTTGTTGTTTGGATGTTAATTTTTTTCTTTTCTTTTTTAAAGAATGCTGAATAATTATCTTAGTTTGCCACACATTTTCTGCATTTTGATTTTTTTCTTTTGTGGTGACTCCCAAAGGTAGAATTTTTTAGCTAAAGGATATTGCTAATTTTATGGTCCTGCATACTTTTACCAAATGGTCGCATACTAAGGATGAAGCCTTTACATTCCCACTGGCAGAGAATGATACCACAAGTGCCCCAAGGTTACGGTAACCTGTCCTATGGGGGGAAATCTGGAAGCTCTAGTAAGTGAGACCAGTGGGCAAGTGGGCAGATGCTGAGCCTGCCCCCCCAGACAGAGGGAGAAGTGAAGCCACTGAGCATTTGCTAGGCAGGGCAGCATGTCTGTGGTCGGAGCCAGAGATGTTCTTTTGCCCTTTCCAGCATTGCCTAGTGATCCTGGGGATGCCCGTTTGGAAGCTGCAGGCCTTTAACATCTTCAGGGTTGAAGAGATGATGCTCCCCGTGGGGGCTGACCAGTGATCCATTAGTTCCAGGTGGAGCTTTCAGAGGTCTATGGGGCCTTCCTGTGGCTGCATCTCATTTCCCCCACTCCTGACTTCGCAATTTACTCCTTTGGATCTTTCCAGAAACCGTCTTTGGCAGTTCTGAAACAAAGGCCACCTGGCGACCAAACACAAAACAAACAAAACAAAAAACACTTGGAAATCATCATTTCTCAAAAAGATTTTTGTTTTGAAAAAGCTATTACTGTCTGTCTGTCCTTGGAAAGCATCCTTGATTCACGGTTTCTCCCCAGATGGCCAGGAGCAAAACAGCTGGAGCCTGGAGCACAGGATTGTTTGGACAGAATATAAGCACCACCCCTTATATCTGATTTATGGGTTAGGGATCAGGCTGTTCTTAGAACCAGAACAAAACGTTCTTTGGGTAGAACCCAAGTGAAGAAACGCAGAGAAAAACTGAAGCAGCAGCCAAGGTTACCTCTCCAAATCCCCAGTGCCTGGCACAGTGCCTGGCCCTAAATGGGAGCCCAGGCAGAGTGTGCCCATCTGATTCCCAGCTTACCAGAAACCCAATGTTTACCTTCCTGGGGTATTTGTATGGAGCAGTCACCCTTTTCACATGCTCCTGGAGTTCCCGTGTCAGTGCATCTGGGTCATGAGAGGAGTAGTCTGGAGTTAGGACTACAAATGCCTTTACCACCTGCAGGAAAACAAAATACCCAGAAAAGATCAGGCCTTGTATAACAACTCTTTTCTCTTTAAGTGAGACTTGAATAAATGCCCACATTTACCTTTGGATCATCATTGTTCTACCAGTTTTTTGGGCACAGCCAGTGACACAAACAACAATTGTTCTGTTGCAGGCCTTTCCAGGTGCAACTATTAGGAGCATTAACCTTTGTGGGATGATCTCAAACTCCTACCTATTTCTCTTTTTTCTTTTTCTTTCTTTCTTTTTTTTTTTTTTTTTTTTTGAGACAGATTCTGGTTCTGTTGCCGGGCACCAGGCTGGAGTGCAGTGCCTCGATCTCAGCTCACTGCAACTTCCGCCTCCTGGATGCAAACAATTCTCCTGCCTCAGCCTCCTGAGTAGCTGGGACTACAGGCACGTGCCATCATACCTGGCTAATTTTTGTATTTTTTTTAGTAGAGATAGGGTTTCACCATGTTGGCCAGGATGGTCTCAATCTCTTGACCTTGTGATCCACCCGCCTCGGCCTCCCAAAGTGCTGGGATTACAGGTGTGAGCCACCGCGCCCGGCCCTTATTTCTCAGATTACTCCCCATACTTGGAATGACACCATTTGAAGCCAACATTGCTTCTCTCAAGATGCAAATATTTTGGAGAAAAGAGGTTCATAAACTCCTATGTCCATTTACTTCCAGATTTTCCTAACAAGAAAGGTGGGTAGGCATGAGTTTGAATAGAAGAGATTGAGGAAAATGCAGTCACTTTCAAGGGGAGCTATATTTTTGGAGTTCTACATGGATGAACATTTGCAATCAGCAGACACTGAATGGCACCACATCTGTTCCAGACATCCCAAGGGACATTCTGCACCTTGGGTCTCTCTGCCCACATCTTTCCTGCAGGCTGTCTTATGCCTACAGGACAAAGAGGAAGACTCAGATTGTCCTGTATTTCACCTCCATCCATGTGCCATGAATTTGAAATGCCACCATCAGACTCACATTGCCTTCATGTGTGGCAATGGAAGGAAGTGTCCCAGACTCAAGCACAACAAACAGAACACGATTTCTGTTAGGAATAAAAAGTCACTTGGATGTTTATCCATTCCAGCATTCATATCTGTCAGCAATATTCTAGCTGGGTGCAGTGGCTCACACCTGCAATCCCAGCACTTTGGAGGCTGAGGCGGGTGGATCATGAGGTCAGGAGATCAAGACCATCCTGGCCAACATGGTGAAACCGCATCTCTACTAAAAATACAAAAATTAGTCAGGCATGGTGGTATGCACCTGTAATCCCAGCTACTCAGGAGGCTGGGGCAAGAGAATCACTTGAACCCAGGAGGCAGAGGTTGCCACTGCACTCTAGCCTGGAGACAGAGAAAGACGGTCAAAAAAAAAAAAAAAAAGAAGAAGGAGAAAAAGAAAACAAAAAACAAATAAACCAATATTCTATTAAGGGGTAGGCCACTGTCCTTGCATACTTCCTACAGGCATGAAAGAGCACTACCATTTCATGTTCAAACAGATATACTTCTGGAAGAGCTTCCTCTTACTACTATAACTACTAAACATTTGTTGGGAGCCTTCTACTCAGCAGACTCAGTTCTAAGCACTATACATGGATTAACTTTGAGCACACAGATGTTTGTCACAGTCCCAGTTAACTCATGGCATGCTGAACTAGGCATACGTTTCAGGTGTGATTGATTCAGCACATCGATGGTACTCCACACCTCCCTTATTCTATATTAACTGCCCCAGATTTTAGCGGGGAATCACTTGGCCAGGAGTGGCTGGCTAAAATGCAGATTCTCTGGGCTGCATTCCTAGTCATTATGATTCCGTAAGTCTGACTTTAGGTCTACAAATTTGTATTTTAAACAGGAATCTCCGATGTTACAGTTGCAAGCAGTCCAAGAACCAGACTTTGAGAATCTCTCCTGTAGTCCTGATGCTTCTGAGAATGCAGGTTGATGTTGCACTAACTTTCAAAAGGTAACTGTTGTGCTTTAGGATTATGTTGGATATACAGCCAGTAAAAAGTACCTAGGTCTGCCTGTAAGCTGATCTCTCCCACACTATGTATTCCTCTGGGACCCACAGAAAGATTTCTCCTGTGAAAGCCCAGCTTATTAAATTTGGCCCATCTTTCTGATATATCAAGGTCATTTGGGGCATATATTCTATCCCTCTCAAGTTAGAGCCATTAGCAACCATGTCTGGTGTGCTCACTGTATCCTCATCTGCAAATGGAAAATGACTTTTTATTAGACAGGATGGATGACAGAGTCTGCACCTCCCCCTAAGACCTCCTGCCCTATAGCCAGCCTCTTTTGGACCCAGTCGTGTCCACTTAAAAGCAAAGCATTGGCGTTTTCCCATTGTGTTCCTCTAGAGAGTAACTGTATCTCCAAATTCACGAGGGTAATGTGTGTCTGATGGTGGCATTTCAACTCTGTGGCACATGGATGGAGGTGAAATACAGGACAATCTGAGCCTTCTTGCTATTCTGATGGGTGCTGATGGGTACAGAAGCAGAAGGCCGTGTTCTTGACTGCACTGGTTACCTCTCCCCTGATGGGATCTGGGCTGCTGACTACAGCTGACTCCAGGACAGCAGGATGCTCTGCCAGGGCACTTTCCACTTCAACAGGCCCAATCCGGTAGCTGGAAGGGAAAAACAAACTCTTCAAGTGGGCTTCCCTCATCCCCCATGAAATTTCAAAGGGAAAAGGGAAATGCAGACAGCTTGACCTTGAAGAACTGATCACATCATCATTTCTTCCCATGAACCAAAAGTAGCCATCCTTGTCCATGTGAGCTCGGTCCCCTGTGATGTAAAAGTCCCCTTGTTCTGATGCAGCGGTCTTCTCAGGATTGTCCTGAAATACAAAGAAAGCCAATGAAGGACCCTCTGGGAACAGCTGCTAAGTCAGCTACTGCCCTAGGAGCCCCCTGTCAGAAGCTGGTGACCGCTCAACAGAAAGTTCAGCAGTTCTGAAAGCCCAGCCTGGCCAGAGTTCCCCACTGGACAGGGAGCTATGGCTCTGTTTGGTTGTGGAGTTTCCCTCTTTTGATTGGAATCAAGCTGCCAGCAGCAAATGGTTAAGGGCAGCCACCTACCACATCTTTAGAAGGGGGTCTAGAAAGCATAGTTGAAAGCAGAAGAGTGGACACAGGACCACTGACTGTGTTTTTTAGGACAAAAGAACACACAAATACTCATTGCACTCAGGAATCACTAAGGGTAGAAAGTGAAGGGCTAGGCCGGGCGTGGTGGTTCATGCCTGTAATCTCAGCGCTGTGGGACATTGAGGTGGGTGGATCACTTGAGGTCAGGAGTTTGAGACCAGCCTGGCCAACGTAGTGAAAACCTGTCTCTACTAAAGATTAAAAAATTAGCTGGGTGTTGGTGGCACACACCTGTAATCCCAACTACTAGGGAGGCTGAATCAGGAGAATTGCTTGAACCCAGGAGGTGGAGGTTGCAGTGAGCCAAGATCACCCCATTACACTCCAGCCTGGGTAACAGGGCGAGACTCCATGTTGGAAAAAAAGAAGAGAGAGGAGAGAGAAGAGAAGAGAAAAGAAGAGAAGACAAGAGGGGAAGAGACGGGAGGGGGAAAGAGAGGGAAGGAAGGAAGGAAGAGAGAGAGAGAAGGGCTCATCAAAAAGCCTATTAGTGTGGGGCAAGAGTAAAGAGAAAAACAAACTCTGATTTTCAAAGTTTTAAAGAAAAGCTAATATTCAACAATTTAAAAATGTACTAATACATGCAACCACACAGATGACTTGCAGAAACATCATGCTGAGTAAAAGAACCCAGCCAAATCTGAATAGTTTGTGATTCCATTTATATGAAGTTCTTTTTCAAAAATGCCAAATTATTATGCAGTGACAACAAACAATTTATCAATTGCTGGGGTCTGGAGTGGGGAGGATTGCCTGTCAAGGGGAATGAGGGAGCATTTGGGGCTGAAAAATGTTCCATATTTGACTGTGGTGGCAATTACACGGGGGCATACATGTGTTAAAAGTCATTAACCAATCCAAGATGGCCGTTTAGGAAGAGCTCAGGATTGCAGCTCCCAGTGAAAGCACAGAGGCTGCTGCAGGTGATCCCCAGGCAAGCAGGGCCTGGAGTGGACCTCAGCAGACCTACAGCAGAGGGGCGAGACTGTCAGAAGGAAAACCAAGAAACAGAAATAACCTCATCATCAACAAACAGAATGTCCACTCAGAGACCCAATCTGAAAGCCAGCAACTACAAAGACGACAGGTGGATAAATCCATAAAGATGGGAAGAAATCAGCGCAAAAAGGATGAAAACACCTGAAACCAGAACACCTCTCCTCCTACAATGGATCACAACTCCTCACCAGCAAAGGAACAAGGTTGGATGGAGAACGAGTGTGATGAAATGACAGAATCAGACTTTAGAAGGTGGGTAGTAAGAAACTTCTGTGAACTAAAAGAACATGTTCTAACCCAATGCAAAGAAACTAAGAACCTTGAAAAAAGATTTGACAAAATGCTAACGAGAATGGACAAAATACAAAGTAATATAAGTGAATTGATGGGGCTGAAAAACACAACACGAGAACTTCGTGCAGCATGCACAAGTATCAACAGCCAAATTGACCAAGCAGAAGAAAGGATATCAGAGGTCGAAGATCAACTCAATGAAATAAAACAGGAAAGCAAGAATAGAGAAAAAAGGGTAAAAAGGCATGAACAAAGTCTCCAAGAAATGTGGGACTATGTGAAAAGACCTAATCTACGTTTGATAGGTATACCTGAATGCCACGAAGAGAATGAATCCAAGCTGGAAAATACTCTTCAGGATATTATCCAGGAAAACTTCCCCAACCTAGCAAGGCAGGCAAACATTCAAGTCCAGGAAATACAGAGAACACCACAAAGATATTCATCAAGAAGAGCAACCCCAAGGCACATAATCGTCAGATTCACCAGGGTTGAAATGAAGGAGAAAATACTAAGGGCAGCCAGAGAGAAAGGTCGGGTTACCCACAAAGGGAAGCCCATCAGACTCACAGCAGATCTCTCAGCAGAAACCCTACAAGCCAGAAGAGAGTGGGGGCCAATATTCAACATCCTTAAAGAAAAGAACCTTCAACCCAGAATCTCTTATCCAGCCAAACTAAGCTTCATAAGTGAAGGAAAAATAAAATCCTTTGTGAACATGCAAGTACTCAGAGATTTCGTCACCACCAGGCCATCTTTACAAGAGCTCCTGAAAGAGGCTCTGCACATATAAAGGAACAACCAGTACCAGCCACTCCAAAAACATGCCAAATGGTAAAGAGAATCAACACAATTAAGAATCTGCATCAACTAATGGGCAAAACAGCCAGCTAGCACCAAAATGGCAGTATCAAATTCACACATAACAATATTAACCCTAAATGTAAATGGAATAAATGCCCCAATCAAAAGACACAGACTGGCAAATTGGATAAAAAGACAAAACCCATCAGTGTGCTGTATCCAGGAAACCCATCTCACATGCAAGGATACACAAAGGCTCAAAATAAAGGGATGGAGGAAGATTTACCAAGCAAATGGAGAGCAAAAAAAGGCAGGAGTGGCAATTCTCATCTCTGATAAATTAGACTTTAAAGCAACAAAGATCATAAGAGACAAAGAGGGACATTACATAATGGTAAAAGGATCAATGCAACAAGAAGAGCTAACGATCCTAAATATATACGCACCCAATACAGGAGCACCCATATACATAAGGCAAGTTCTTAATGACTTACAAAGAGACTTAGACTCCCACACAATTATAGTGGGAGACTTTAACACCCCATTGTCAATATTAGACAGATCAACCAGACAGAAAATTAACAAGGATATCCAGGACTTGAACTCAGACCTGGACCAAGCAAAACTAATAGACATTTACAGAACTCTCCACCCCAAATCCACAGAATATGCATTCTTCTCAGCACCACATCACACCTACTCTAAAATTGACCACATAATTGGGGGTAAATCACTCCTCAGCAAATGCAAAAGAACGGAAATCATAACAAACAGTCTCTCAGACCACAGTGCAATCAAGTTAGAACTCAGAATTCAAAAACTAACACAGAACTACACAGCTTCATGGAAACTGAACTTGCTCTTGAATGTTGACTGGATAAACAATGAAATGAAGACAGAAATAAAGATGTCTTCGAAACCAACGAGAATGAAGACACAACGTACCAGAATCTCTAGGACACATTTAAAGCAGTCTCTAGAGGAAAATATATAGCAATAAGTGCCCACATGAGAAGCAAAGAGAGATCAAAAATTGACACCCTATCATCAAAATTGAAAAAGCTAGAGGAGCAAGATAAAAAAAAAACCTCAAAGTCTAGCAGAAGACAAGAAATAGCTAAGATCAGAGCAGAACTGAAGGAGATAGAGACACAAAAAACCCTTCAAAAAATCAATAAATCCAGGAGCAGGTTTTTTGAAAAGATCAACAAAATAGACAGACCACTAGCCAGATTAATAAAAAAGAAAAGAGAGAATAACCAAATTGATGCAATAAAAAACGATAAAGGGGATATCACCACAGATTCCACAGAAATTCAAACCATCATCAGAGATTATTACAAACAACTCTATGCACATAAACTAGTAAACCTGGAAGAAATGGATAAATTCCTGTACACTTGCCTCCTCCCAAGCCTAAACCAGGAAGAAGCCGAAGCCCTAAACAGACCCATAACAAGGTCTGAAGTAGAGGCAGCAATTAAGAGCTTGCCACCCAAAAAAAGCCCAGGTCCAGACGGGTTCACAGCCAAATTCTACCAGACATACAAAGAGGAGCTGGTACCATTCCTTCTGAAACTATTCCAAACAATACAAAAAGAGGGAATTCTTCCCAAATCATTTTATGAGACCACCATCATCCTGATTCCAAAACCCGGCAGAGACTCAACAAGAAAAGAAAACTTCAGGCCAATATCCATGATGAACATGGATGCAAAAATCTTCAATAAAATACTGACAAGCTGCTTGCAACAGCACATCAAAAAGCTTATCCACCATGATCAAGTAGGCTTCATCCCGGGGATGCAAGGCTGGTTCAACATACGCAAGTCTATAAACGTAATTCACCACATAAACAGAACCAAAGACAAAAACCACATAATTATCTCAATTGATGCAGAGAAGGCCTTTGACAAAATTCAACAGCCCTTTATGCTAAAAACCCTCAATAAGATAGGTATTGACGGAACATTATCTCAAAATAATAAAAGCGATTTATGACAAACCAACAGCCAATATCATGCTGAATAGGCAAAAACTGGAAGCATTCCCCTTGAAATCTGGCACCAGACAAGGATGCCCTCTCTCACCACTCCTATTCAATATAGTACTAGAAGTTCTAGCCAGAGCAATCAGGCAAGAAAAAGAAATAAATGATATTCAAATAGGAAAGGAGGAAGTCAAATTGTCTCTATTTGCAGACGACATGATTGCATATCTAGAAGACCCCATCTTCTCAGCCCAAAAGCTCCTGAAACTGATAAGCAAGTTCAGCAAAGTC